TAGAACTAACGTGGTATAAAATAGAACTAACTTGGTATAAATTAGAACTAACTTGGTATAAATTAGAACTAACTTGGTATAAATTAGAACTAACTTGGTATAAATTAGAACTAACTTGGTATAAATTAGAACTAACTTGGTATAAATTAGAACTAACTTGGTATAAATTAGAACTAAACGTGGTATAAATTAAAACTAACGTGGTTAAAATTAGAACTAATTTGTTATAAATTAGAACTAACTTGTTATAAATTAGAACTAATATGGTTAAAATTAGAACTAACATGGTATAAAATAGAACTAACTTGGTATAAATTAGAACAAAATTAGAACTAACATGGTATAAAATAGAACTAACTTGGTATAAATTAGAACTAACGCGGTATAAAATATTAGTTCTAATTTGTTATAAATTAGAACTAACATGTTATAAATTAGAACTAATATGGTTAGTTCTAATTTGTTATAAAATGTTAGTTCTAATTTGTTAGTTCTAATTTGTTATAAATTAGAACTAACTTGTTATAAATTAGAACTAATATGGTTAAAATTAGAACTAACGTGGTATAAAATAGAACTAACTTAGTATAAATTAGAACTAACGCGGTATAAAATGTTAGTTCTAATTTGTTATATATTAGAACTAACTTGTTATAAATTAGAACTAATATGGTTAGTTCTAATTTGTTATAAAATGTTAGTTCTAATTTGTTAGTTCTAATTTGTTATAAATTAGAACTAACTTGTTATAAATTAGAACTAATATGGTTAGTTCTAATTTGTTATAAAATGTTAGTTCTAATTTGTTAGTTCTAATTTGTTATAAATTAGAACTAACTTGTTATAAATTAGAACTAATATGGTTAAAATTAGAACTAACTTGGTATAAATTAGAACTAACGCGGTATTAAATTAGAACTAATGTGGTATAAATTAGAACTAACTTGGTATAAAATAGAACTAACTTGGTATAAAATAGAACTAACTTAGTATAAAAATAGAACTAACTCATGTTAGTTCTAATCTACACAATTAGTTCTAAAATTAGAACTAACTTGTTATAAGATAGGACTAACTTGGTATAAATTAGAACTAATTTATTATAAATTAGAACTAACTTGTTATAAATTAGAACTAATATGGTTAGTTCTAATTTGTTATAAAATGTTAGTTATAATTTGTTAGTTCTAATTTGTTATAAATTAGAACTAACTTGTTATAAATTAGAACGAATATGGTTAAAATTAGAACTAACGTGGTATAAAATAGAACTAACTTGGTATAAATTAGAACTAACGTGGTATAAAATGTTAGTTCTAATTTGTTATAAATTAGAACTAACTTGTTATAAATTAGAACTAATATATAACAAATTAGAACTAACTTGTTATAAATTAGAACTAACTTGTTATAAATTAGAACTAATATGGTTAAAATTAGAACTAACGTGGTATAAAATGGAACTAACTTGGTATAAATTAGAACTAATGCGGTATAAAATATTAGTTCTAATTTGTTATAAATTAGAACTAATTTGTTATAAATTAGAACTAATATGGTTAGTTCTAATTTGTTATAAAATGTTAGTTCTAATTTGTTAGTTCAAATTTGTTAGAATGAGAGAATTTGTGGTACGAAATCCAAGCGAAGATAAGAATACCAACATCAAATTTTAACATCAAATTCCTGCAAGTTAAGGCATTCAACATTTCTTCAGGGAGAATACTCCATGACAAAACCCAAGCAAAGATAAGAATGCCAACATCAAATTTATCAAAAAAAGCTTCACCATCTCCTCCTCAGCTCCAGCACTAAGATCAGCTCTTAAAATTTCAAACCCAACAGACATCTCTTCGCCATCTTGACAAACAATCTCCTTAACAAGCAGTGACATTTTGTGTCTGCAGCCCCTTCATTTTCATTTTTCTTGGGCATCATGCACTTTTTTCTCTTGGTCATCCTCCTCCGGCCTACCATACTATAGGATTCAAAAGTGACAGACACAGCGGCGAACTCCGGCGTAGTCGAGGGCGAGACGGGGAACGACGACGAGCTACCGCGACGAGGTCGGGCGGAGGAGAGGAGGGGAGGCGACGGCGAACTCGGGGGAGGCTTGGGAGCCTGGGGGGAGGTGGCGACGGCGAGGAGGGAGAGGGCGAGGGCGAGGGCGACGAGCTTGAGAAAGCCCTTATTTTTAAAGAGAGGGGGGGAGAGAGAGAGAGAGAGAGAGAGAGAGAGAGAGAGAGAGAGAGAGAGAGAGAGAGAGGAGAGAGAGAGAGAGAGAGAGAGAGAGAACTGGGTTTGAAGGATTGAGGAGAGGGGATAAGGTTATTTTTGGGATTTTAGCTTAGCTGGCATGTAATAATTGTTAAAAAGGAGCTGCAGCATAAAATGTCACACTTCAAGGGGCTGAACCACATGGGGGAAACTAGGAGGGGCTGCAGCACATGAAGTTTCTGTTTTTGGGGCCTGGACATATTTTTTCCTTATTTTTTAGTTGGGATCAATGATTAGAGATTTACAATTTAAGACATATGATATATATATGAGGGTTTTCTTGTTTGGATTATTTCGCTCGACGTACTAGTCTCGTGTTATGGATTTCTAATTATTGGTTTCATTAGATTATCTTTTCTTAGTTCGGTATTAATATTTAGATATCTATAATTTGAGACTTATGGTATATACATAAGGGTTTCATTGTTTGGATTATTTCGCTCAACGTACTACGTCTCGTGTTGTAGGTTTTTAAATGTTAATCCTACTTAGATACGGGAAAAATGAATCTAGGTAGACTATGCTTAATAGATAGAGCATTCACTCCATCTAGTAGCCCTTCCCCTGGGGGCGGATGAAGGTAATCTTGCTGTAGCGCTCTGACGCTCTTATTGTTGTTTTTTCTTTTTAAATTACTATTCAGATAGTTCGTAGTTTCGGAGAGCCGCAGGGTGACGGAGTTCTGACATAGTCATCGTCGCGTATTTTCACTTCTAGAGACTCCACTGTAGTTTTGAGTTTTATCTAGACATTAGAGTTTCATATTCATATTGTAAAGGTAGTGTGCCTTAGTACAATTTTTAGTTGATTCATGTTGAGACATTTTTATTATTCAGATATCAGATGTATTATAGTTAAGACATGATTCTTTTCATTTATGAGATATCTCTTTTATATCATGTCTATTACATTTATTCCATTTATTTTGCATGTTTGTACTTGTACTTCTATTTGGTTCTACTAGAGGATATTACTATGATTGGTAAAACATGTTTATGCACAGTGTGGGTGCATGATAGGTTTGACATCTCTGGTTTCACCTTGGACTGCAGCCTTGTGTGAACCCATAGACGTCACAGTTTGTTTTTTTTGTGGGACACTAGCGCTGGGTAGCTATGTATTGGATACGTAGATTCGATTACGCTGAAGATTTGGATAAACGCCGGTCGACGATAGGGTATGTGTTCACTTTGACCCGTGCGCCAGTGTGTTGGAGATGCATCATGCAGTCTACGGTGGCTTTGTCGACAATGGAGGCAGAGTATATATCAATTACAGAGGCTGTTAAGGAGGCGATTTGGTTTCGAGGACTTTTGGAGGATCTTGGTATTTCACAGCGATCCGTCATCATTTATTGTGATAGCATGTGTGCTATTTTTTTGGTGAAGAATCAGGTCTTTCATGCGAGGACGAAGCATATCAACGTTCGTTATCACTTCGTTCGAGATGTTCTTGAAGATGAGGATGTGGAGCTGGTGAAGGTCAACACAAAAGATAATCCAGCGGATATGCTCACGAAGGTGGTCCTGAGCAACAAGTTTGATCATTGTAGAAACTTATTGCAAATTCACGCTTGTTGTGGCCGTTTGCGACCATTTGGATGAACTACGGACGGCTTGATCCCTTAGGAGAGGGGGTACGTAGGCAACCACTTTGGTGCAGCTGGATTTGGGGAGACGATGTATTGGTGCTCATGTTGGTGTCAGCTCAGTTTTGGGAACATTTCGCTGAGGTAGAGAATTGTTTGAAAAACCAGGTTTTCAGGGAACAATGTCATCAGTCGACTGATGCCATGATCCGTCGACTGAAGAAAAGCACTGGAATTGTGAAAAGTTTATGCGTAGTTGACTGGTGATCAATCGACTGATGAGCTCGTTCAGTCGACTGGTAACCCTATCAGTTGACTGATGGAACCGTGAGCAGTTTTTGTGCATGTTATCGGTCGAATCGGTCGACCTATGTTTCACATCAGTCGACCGATGTCGGGTTTCTTGGGCTGTTTTGGTTTCCTGTTCGGTTTTGGTTTGGTGTTTGATATAAATACAAACATGATTTCTAGGATCAATATAGGAGAGATTGTTGAGTCTTTTGAGCACTTTGAGAGAGAGATTGTTGAGTCTTTTGAGCACTTTGAGAGAGAGATATTGTGTGAGAGTTGAGATATTTGGTTAGGGTTATATTTGAGAGTTTGTGTGAGTTATAACCCGTTGTATTTCTCCTCCATATAGTAAAATCTCCCCATCATCTCCTCGTGGACGTAGGCAATTGCCGGACCACATATATCTTTGTGTTTAAGTTGGATTTTGGCCCTTATTTAGGAATTGCACATGTGTTTGGTTCTTCTCTCATTGCTTGTCGACTCGTTTAGTTTGCGAGCACGCTTCTGCACGGCGCGCAACAATTTTAAAATCTATGTTTATCTCATTTTGGGAGTTTTCCGCAATGATCATACGGAGTACCTTTGTCCCTGAGAAGTTAAACCAGCGCTCACCGTTATCTTCGAGAATTTATCTTATGGCAATTTTCTTAATTTCCATCAATTCCTATTCTAGATACCATTTTACAACCAATATATGCAGGTCAGAGCATACGATCTACGTGTCAAGAAGTTAGATTACACGTGTCACTGTTTAGTCTGCAACTCCTTATCCCAAACCCGATCCGAGAACCGCCTCCAAACTCTAAAATTAAAACAAACGTCATCTTGTTCTCATCATTATGCTTCAAAAAAGGAGGAGGAATTAGTCGGTAGGGGTAAGAGAGAAAATTAATAAAGGAGAATGATAACAAGTAATCGTCTAATAATTCTGATGATGGCAATACTGGCAACGCTGCTCCTCAGCTTGCCCTGTGTTGGATCGACGATGGAGAGTACCAAGGAGGGGGCAAATCTTGCAGCAGATGAGGTCGAGCTCAAGTCCATGCAAGACTCAAAGGCGACCACCATGTCATGGACCAGATGGGCTAAAGAAAAATTAGCGTAACACTTTTTAGATTTATTAATTTAAAACCTTGTCACTTAACGAAACTCTGAATATATGTGTCCATGTGTGTGTGTGTGTGTGTCATGTAATATTTTATGATCAATTAAGCAAAATTTTGTTAAATATTTTTCAATTTCTTTTGTGATAGGGGGTTTGGTATTGGTAAAGATAAAGCAGAAGAGGCAGCCGGTGATATTGCGACGAAGACTCAAAAGACGGCGATTGATATTGCTTCTGGTATATATATATAATTTTTATGTTTAACGCGAAATTTAATTATTTTTAATTTTTCTAAGTTAAGTGCCTAAAACATACATTCGATTTTACCATCATGATAACCAATCTTGGCTTCTTTAAAGTAGGAATCATCTTCTTAGTCTTAATTCCTTGTTTATGTAAAGAGAGCAGTCGTCAGAAAATAGTGTTTAACTTTTGCGCGCTTCATGAGTGGCCTGAAATTTGAGGAGGAGGACAGTAAGGGTGGGCGTGGGCCGGTCCCATCCGGCCCGCTTTGTTCAAGGTTGGGCCGGGCTCGACCAAGGCCTGCCCGGGTCAGAGTGGGTCGGACTTATTTCTTTGATCCCGGATCTGAGATTAGACTCGACCCGACTCACATCCCACGGGTCGTGGTGCGGCCCATGGGATTTTTTAACTTTTTCTATTTTTTATTTTTAATTTCTAAACTATATTAACTTTGTATTAGTATCTATTATATTATATTTAAATTATTTTTTCTATTTTACTCTTTATTTAAAATGAGATATATACACACATTGTACAAAAATAAACATCACACATAAAAACATCACAAGCACAAAGATATACGTGGTTCGGACTTTGAAGAAAGACCTATGTCCACAGAATGTCAATAATCTTCCTTTAGTTTAAATTTAAATTATAAATACAAGAGGGAAAAAGGAAAAATATGTTAGCTAAAAACTAAAAAGTAATAATTAAAATTCGGGGTCGGGTTGGGCCGGGCTGGGCCGATGGTGGGCTGGGTTAAGGTGGGCCGAGCCTATTTCTCTATTTCCGGGTCTAGAGTTGAACCCAGCACGGCAAGTGACCCGTGTATATCACGGGTGGATCGGGCCCCACCCACTGCGGGTGGATCCGGCCCGTGCCCAACCCTAAGGAGGAGGAGGTTTAATTGATGTGAATCATGCATGTGATTTAGTAGTACCTAAGCTGGTAACCTCCAGCTAAATTAAAAAGCAATTATGTACGTATATTCGTTGCCGTTAATTTGATCAGATCGCTGATAAGGGGTTTACATATGGTAAAGAGGGCACATAATTAGGTCTAGTGTTCCCCGTGCAGGCATCGCGTAGGGGCATGACCCGGAACCTGAACAAGCGTTATGGTCGAATTGTTGGAGTGGGGAATTTCTGTTATTTTTTGTGTACATATCATGGTAGGATTCGCATGTTCAGAAAATCATAGCAACTTGAAAAAAAAAACTATTTATTTACCGAAATGGAGTCATATTATGAAAGCAAGAGAAGATCATCTACTTATCTCAAGTACTTCCCAACGATATATAGTTCTCACAAAAACATACTCAACAAAAAGAGAAATACGTTACAGATGCTGAACTAACTGAAATTAATTAATTACGTAGGAGCTGCGGAAAAGGTTGGGGAAGTGAAAGAAGGAATGGAGGGTAATGCAGCCCCTGATCCTGAATCAACTGCGGAAGCTGCAGACAAAGCTTCGGAGACGAAGGAGAAGGCGGTGGATACTGCCAACGTCAAAGGATCAGCGAGTGACGACGCAACGATGGCATACAGAAGAGCCAATGTGGAGGGTGCGGAGAGGGCTTATGGAAATGCAAAGCTTAAAGCGGGCGAAGCTTACAAGACCGCGAGAGACGCAACGAGTCACGGTGCAAAAGAAAGCTATGAGGCAGCCAAGGAGAGGGTTTCGGACGCTACGGGCAATGTGGGAGCTCAGTACACGAACTACGGAGCAGGGGAGCTTTGAGGTTTGCTGTGTCAATTACTTCAAGCGGAGATTCTTATATATTGCAGATCCAGAACTCGTTAAAATTAATTAACTCGACTCTGTTTCTGAAGTTCTCGTACAAATTATAGAAATTTGTTTAACACCTATCGTTTTCTTAGGCTATGTTTGGTTTGAGAGAAAGGGAGAGAAAAGGAAAAGAAAGAGAAAGTAAAAAGAAAGGAAAAGAAAAAGAAAAGAAAATGATATTCTTTTTATTGTTTGGTTAGAAAGAATATTGTAAGGAAAGTTAGAAGAAAATTCATAAGAAAGTCATTTTCTCTTGTTTGGTTGCCTTTCTGAGGAAAAGAGGAAGAAAATTAGCACAACATAATTTTAATTCATACTTTTTGGATTTAGATTTAGATTTTAAATAATTTACAAAAAATAATTAAATTAAATTGTAATTCTGTCATATTTTCAAAAAAAATTACAAGTTATTGTTCATGTTTACACAATCTTAATTTAAGAAAATTTAGTCAAATTTACGATGACTCTAAATTTGCATATAATCTTACATGGTCTTGGACTTGCAAGTTATTCATAACCTCAGGTGAAGAAAAATGATTCCGAATAAGCTCTAGACAATGATGCAATTCAAGCATAATTATTCAAAATTAGTATCATTCATATCTTAGGAAGTAACAGGTTAATAAACATGTATTTAAAAAAATTGGCAATTTCCTAACACAAAAACTTGAGTGGCCATCAACATTGAGTTTGTAAATATTAACAAGCAGAAACACAACCACAATTCCGCTAATTAAAGAACAACATTTCTCACCCATAATATTTGCAGAAAGAAAGGTCAATGAAAGAACCAAAACAAATATAAAGTAAATGTCATGATATTCCTAATATAAAGTATAATCCATTTCTAGTCACAAAGTCTATTACAATCAATTTCATATAAAAAATCTTAACCAACAAAATCTTTTACAATCAATTTCATATATAGAGAATCTTAACCAAAGAGAGAGAGAAAAATATGTCGAAGTCCTTGGTTTTTGACTTTAGTGAGCCCATCAAAACATCAATCTCGCATCCTTCATCCCCTGAAATTAATTCAAAAAATTTCAAATAAGTAGAATATAAACATCAAAAACCTATAAAATTGATTGTAATAGATCACAAAACAGAATTAACAAAGACCCAAACTTAGTCCTTGGTTCCTACTACAGAAAGACTTGCCGAAAAAGCTCATTTTCATAACAAACAGAGGAAACTGATGGTTAAAATATTATATTGACATGATCATATGTGCATAAACTCCAGAAGCAAAGGGAAGCAAACATACATAGTAAGACACACAGACATCACAATAAAATGAAAGAACTTATAGATGAAGTTAATCAGAGCATATAAGTTATAACAAAAAGTTCCTATCTATTAGTAATTTCATAAGGTACTCAACAATTACAGATACCGCCTACTAACAGTCAATCTATCTAATCATCAAGCTATGGAAAGCTTAAACATACAACCAATCACGCGAGCAAATAATCACATTTGACAACCTAAGATGCACATTTAAAATCTCGCATCCATGCCTAGACAAGTAGGAAACAACTCATTTCTTGAATCATAAGTGATATATCTCAGTTCCTCCAACATATGTGTGCAGTATAAACCCAAACTACTGCATGTATCCACACACCAACATATGTGTGCAGGTGAATTAATGGCAACAAACTAAAGGTGAGCATGTCCTGCAAATTAAAAATAAAGAGTACCACAATTTCATATGCATCAGAATGTAGAATATATCACATGCAAGTATGCCCATCCAAGCTTTTATATTAGGCAAAGGAATGTTTCATTGCAAAATTACCTCCTAGTACCGATACCAAGATTGTGTGATGCCCATCCAAGCTTAATCTCCAACCACCTTTTCCTCCGATGAATTGGTAACCCAATAAAGTTTCTTCCTCGAGCCGCATCCTCGGTAAGATAGTCGTAGGCTACAAGCTGTTCGTCCTCATTGAGCCCTTCAACTTTTGAAAGCTCCTCAAATATCTCTCCTTCTGTGTAAAAACGAGGACCGGTCTTCCAAATTGCAGAAGCAATTGACTCCATTCCGCTTTTTAGCCCATCAAGCTCTTCACCCAAGTTGCTAGTGGCACTATGCTTTCTTTTATATATCACCTTAGAAGATGTTCCCGCTGTAGAATGAGTTTTGGGATCTTGTTCTTTACCTTTTGAAGGGCCAATGCATTCTACATCATTCTCTTGAACAGCTTCTCTATCATCTTGATTTGTATTGATAAAACTTGATTCATCTCTTTCATTTTCTATGCGAGCACGTCTTTCTTTGATAGTTTCAGAAGATAAACCACCAGCCCTGTCTTTCCCATAAATGATTTGCAAGTTTTCAAAACACGGTACAGGTTTGTAACGAAATTGTTTTGCTCCAGGATGTGCCTATTAATAGATAAAGAAAACACAAAATTATTAGTTGCACACAAGTCACGGCTGTATTGGAGCTGTAGCACAAATAGCCATAGAAGGATACATCAATGCAGGTATAGAAAAGAGAATATTTGTTCAGTGCAGTTACAAGCAAAATTAAGGAGATGAGATGAGTGACTCTATATACAAAAACCGAGAGCTTGTTTTGGTTTGCTACCTCCTACGTACACATATTAGGTGAAAGATTCTTTTGGTTTGCTACCCTCCCACTTAAGCCAAGATTAATGTCCCTGGATGTGAATACAGGTAGTTACTTCATGTGCTACCAGCGGGGTCCTAATTATAGGTAGGCCTAATTAATTACAGGTAGATGCTTATCCTAATTAAAAAAAAAAATTATTAGTTCCCAACCATCATGAACTCTGCATAAATATGCGAGCAGTTGAGAGACTACAGGCTCATCTAAATTGTGAATGAACAATAATTTCAGCAAACTGAAAGTAATTCAAGCAGAAGAACTATCGTACATATATGCTACCATTGTTCTAAACCGGAGCAGACATTGGCCGCCTATTGCAGAAACATGACCAGAGTACAATTTAGACAAAAAATAATAAATGACTAATTATGCAACGTACCTTTATGTAATCTTCCCAAACTTTTGGCTCCGCATCCATCATCCTTGTCACTCGATTAAATGCAAATCCACTAGAAGAATTCTGCATGTCTTGAAATGCGCCCATATCTTTTTTAAGTGTCTTCAATCGGTTTTTAATATGATCCACTTCAACCTTTATTCCACATTTAGCATATAACTCTGCACATGTTGCTTGATAAGCATGATATGAGAAACTTCTATCGGGCTTTTGCTCTTTGTGCACTTGTTCTCTCAATGTTTCAGTTAAGCAAATATCCATCTTCTCTGTCCATACAATATTTTTCTTTGAATTTGATTGATTTCCAAGCTGTGAATCCATATGAACGACCTGCTTGTTAATATGCAACATTACTTAAAACCAAAGAAGCAATATACAGTACAAAGACGAAGAGTGGAACATGTGCGTGACAACTGTGGACACTTGGATTAAACTCTAAACAGCAGGTGGGGAACAAAATCTCGACTAATAATTAACATAAATTATCTTCATGACTTGCATTGGCAGTATGGTGATTATCATCGGACACCTAACAACTCTGCTTCAACTATTAATCCCGAGGCATCAAACAAAACCCCTCAAAAGAATATTACAGTTTCATTGACAGGCTTCAGGCAAATTGTTGTTCACATATTTTTCTGTCTGGTACATGTCACACATAGGAGATTCAGAAATTCATTTTGACAAAATGCCCGTGCTTTCTACTAATCCAAAAAGGACTATAACACAAAGAAGTAGCAATTGTTTGGAAGGAAGAACTGCAGTACTAGTGACAAAATTACCTATACACAACATGAAACATTAACCCAAAAGCAGAAGAGACTACAAGGAAAACAAAACTAATCACCTAAGGAATAGCTCAGTAGATTCATCTAAATAAAGGGATTTTTTTTATAGGAAAAAAGGAAAACAAAATGAAGCAAAAGAAATTTGAAAGCAGTATAGAAAAGAGAATATGTTCTTTTGCAGCATATGGGACATATACATACATCGCACATATATTAGATTATTTCACATGTATAACAATGTTTAAAAACAACAAGGCATGTTCTAATACATAAATGAGCAGTGAGACTGTGGGGCATATTGGTAGGAAGAAACACACAATTCAAGGTCAAGATCTGAAAGTTCACAATTCAGATGGATTCCCAAATAATGAATTAGAACAAAGAAATGCGATGTTTAATTTACTAATCATAACAACAAGTTGATTAGTAAAGATCAAGCAGGCCGTTATTGACAGTATTTGATGCATTGAAATAAGCATATAAAATGCAAACTTACAAAGTTTGAACATGATCCTGTGAACAAAAAACAACAAGTTGTTTATAAATACTTAAAATATTTCTAATAATCTCTCCACATATCATCGGCTATTTTTTGCCTTAGAATCTCTCCTCGTCTATACTCTTCATTATCATTTACAGGAGCTTCTTCAACATCTATCATCTGGTTCAAAACTTCCTGATCAACTTGTTCAAGAAGCCCCTCGTCAGGATCAACACCCATTAGAAAATTATGTAGGATAGTACATGCATAAATGATATCTTTTTGTGTTTCAATTGGATAATGAGGTTCTGTTCCACTACCCAAGATTGGAAATCGCTTCTTCATTTGCATTTTATAGTGAAGAGTGGCGATGGTTATACACTTCACGAGGACTTTCAGGTTGTCTTGTTGAATATTCCTTGAGGTGATAACGTCATAAGTGATATATCTCAGTTCCTCCAACATATGTGTGCAGTATAAACCCAAACTACTGCATGTATTCACACACCAACATATGTGTGCAGGTGAATTAATGGCAACAAACTAAAGGTGAGCATGTCCTGCAAATTAAAAATAAAGAGTACCACAATTTCATATGCATCAGAATGTAGAATATATCACATGCAAGTATGCCCATCCAAGCTTTTATATTAGGCAAAGGAATGTTTCATTGCAAAATTACCTCCTAGTACCGATATCAAGATTGTGTGATGCCCATCCAAGCTTAATCTCCAACCACCTTTTCCTCCGATGAATTGGTAACCCAATAAAGTTTCTTCCTCGAGCCGCATCCTCGGTAAGATAGTCGTAGGCTACAAG